TGTGTGTATGGTAGAAAGCGAAGTTTAGAAAGAGAAGTGACCCTTTAGATTGGAGAGATGATCCGCTTTTTCCAAAATTGCGCTAAATCAACACTTTAAAGCCTGAAGTTTACAGTAAGAAAAATAAGCGATGAGAGTATGACATGGCTTTTAAGGCGACTTTAGTCATTTTGTCAGTAAAATATAAATAAGACGAATAATGATTATGCCCTTGTGAGGTGCAAAGGAAAATTCCGTAAAGAAATCAAAATCAACTTCTTCACGTGAGGTGCTTTGTTCAACTAGTCAAAATTCTTCTCAAAATTTGAACTGAGCTATAAAACAGGATAAATACATAAAATTCTACCGACCTCGGAGCGGGACACGGTGGAGCGGCACCACAAGCCGCCTGCGTAGATGAACAACAGCCGGCACCTCCACCACCTAGAAATGAATCACTGAGAGCATCACAAAAGCAGAACCAAAAGCAAAAGTACACTTATGCATTCATATTTCAAGCTGTTGGTTCTTTTCAGAGCATCGAAAGTTTGCACGAACTTTAACCGTTTCCTTAGGATCAGCATCTACTGCCATAACAGGAGCAGCATCAATACGATTCGCGTCTTCAAGATCATTTTCTCAAAAAATCGTCAAAGCGCTTTCGAATATTAGCTCTAATGTAATCTAAAAACATATTTTGAGTCTCTTAAGAGACTACACTGTTTTAAGAGAGGCTTCAAAAGCAATTGAAAAGGAAGGTATAGCTGTTATTTTTGAACCATCTTTGGTGGCATGTCGTCTACCAACACCAAGCAGAACGCCGCTTAAAAAATGCTAGAGTTAATACTTTTTCCGGTTTTTACCGGACACAACGATGATCTGGATGTGGTAGATCTCTAATTAAACCACACTTTGCACAGAACAAAGAAAAGCAAGACTTTTCCGATTTTACCACTAAACGTAAATAATCAAAAGATCAAAAAATTAAGGATCACAACTTCAGCAATAAAATGACTAATGAAAGCAGCCCAACAGAAACGACAATTCTAACGAAAATCAAACGAATGAACGCACAAAAATCTTACCCAAACAAGCCAATGCAGGTCCAACGACGTTTAGCAATAAAGGTAGAAGTAACATTGGCTTTTCTTGGGGTTTGTACGAATGAAGATGATTTGGGCGCTATTGTTGGCGATATGCCGCAGGCTCAAGCCTTTTCTAGGCGCCGCCCGGATAGCACCGCCCACATACGGGGTGGGGAACTGCGAGATAGGGAGAAAATCCGGGGTGTTGGAATAGCTGCTTCATAATGAGACGGTAAACGCCATTGACAACGACGGCAAGACTGTTCTGACCGGACAGTTGTTATTTACATAAGATAGGTAAGGCTTTTTTCCCCACAAAAATGGAACACTTAGACTATTATCTAAACGGAAAAAACTTCACTACTTTAGAACCGTATATTTCTGGCCAATCTGCAAGATCATTATTCCTTACGAATTATTATTGACACTATTTCGTTTCTGCCGCGATTTTACTGCTTTCGGTTGAGTTACTTATTTGATTGGCTAATTCAAACTTACGATATCTAATTTAGGGCAACGCAACTATGTGTCAATCAAAACTAGATGTATCTTTATCCTTACAGGCAATACTTTACTCAGGTGTCGTCTTTATCGTCGAGAGAGGCTCATTATTGTAGCTATGACTTTATATTCTAATTTTAATCCATATAATGGCTTGCAAATGACTTGAGGTATGAGGACCTATTTTTCAATCATTCCAAATCCGGTTAAAGTTTGTTTTCTACGACATAGATTCGTTGTTGAGCTCCAGAAGAAGGATCGAATCAGTAATTAAGTTGTCATTGGACATTATTAGCCATTGCACGATACGGCTTCTCATCCTCACTTGATGATTATATCAGATTTTCTACGTAGATATCAGACTGAAAAGTGCAGAACCACGCCAATAGGGATAATGTTAAAGTAATCCACTCAAAAGTTTCCGACTTATGATGTCACTCATTTACATCTATACGCACAACCTTAGAATGATATTGGTTAGTTAGACAGTGGAGAAGCGTGCTCTTATCATTTTCGTCTTCTACAAAAACCATCGTCACACTCACAGGAACCGTTTTTTACAGTGTTTTATCGTGAATCGAGCCTATCTGAACGCTTCTGCGACGTTCGTAGGACATGCTACGACGATGAGACTGACTATGATTGATCTTGTGTTACGAAATTCTGCTCTAACAACAGTTATGTTGATGACAAATTCATTTTTCGCAGTTCTGATACGAACATGGCATCAAGTTGAACACAATGAAATGGACTTCGTGAAGCTACTTATGTTGAATAGAAGATGCAGATTGACCAGTCTGTTATGCTGTGAGACAGTGTGATATATCAAAGAGTATGAACTATAAGAATCTTAGACTTTGCAGAACATCTAGACGAATATCATAGAGATGGAGATTTAAAAGAAACACGAGAATCACTTCGGGAAAACCTGATCGCGCTGAGGATTATTTAATAGCGTGTGTTCGTTTTTTACTACTTCGACTGCTTTTGAAACTGCATCTACCGCTTTCTCCTATAGTTCCGGATCTCCAATTGATTTACTCGTAGATAAGTGTAGTCTTCCACTCTTTTATTTTGTAAAGTGATTTGAATTTGTGACAAAACTTCGTACACTGTGGACATTTTCCATAGTGTAAAGTTTATATGTATTTTTATATTGAACAAGGTTTCAAGTTTGGAAAAGCATTTTCTGCGCTTTTTTTTTCTCTCCAATTACTTCAAATCTTCTCACTCTCACCTTCATTCTCCCACGGCAGTCAAACAGAGCGTACTTCTGGGAACCCGTTCTTCTTCGCAGTTTCATTTTACTCAGACTTTTACAGAATACGATGAGCAGTAAGAGGATTGGCCTTTCGATAGGAAAAAAATGTTAGAGCAGGAAGGATTTTTTGGTGATAAAGTAGCCAAAATCATGTTCTGCTGAACTTTTGTTGATTCGAAACTGGATCTACTCTCTAATTGATGTGAATTTCAACGGCTTTTGAAGATATTGTTCAAGGACTCTTCGTAGCTGGACAGCGATCAAACCACACCAGTGGTCATAAGCTAACCCGTCATCTCCCCTCTCTCATCACCTACAATTAGCAGAACGCGCCATCAATCTAACCACTGTAAAATGTAGAGAGAACGGTAACAGCTACAATGAACGTGAAAAGAAATTCCAAAGTAAATGTTGTTCTCAGCGAATGCATAAGAAGTTGTCGTCTGAGACTGTTCGTCACCTGAAACTTCGCGATAAGGTGTGAGAGAGATTATGTCGCGTGATTAATTTGTTCTTATTACTTTTCGTTATGTGAATGAGTGCCGTTCATATTTAGACGTAAGAAACAACTGGTACATGAGGCGATTGAGATCCTTGTGCAATTAGACGCTCGCGATAGATCGTGGTTAATCGTCGTGCTTGGATCGGCTTTTATGCGCTAAATTTCGACAAGTGAACAGTGAACAGCTATATGCATTACAAACTTCTCATCGTAGTAATGTTGGGAACTTACCAATGTCGTACAGTATTGCGCATCGGGAGTTCATTCTCCTATGGCGATTGCTCGAAGTACAAGGCTAAGAATTTCGACATTCCGATCCAAAAACTTCAGCAGGTGTCATCTTATCAAAAAAAAAAAACTGACCAGTTGGCTTCCATCGGCTACCTTTTGGTTGAAAAAGTGCTTTAGCTTATGATTTAGTAATTTTAACTGTATGTAACACGGATGACAGGATCTTGTGTGGATTCCAATTTCCCTTCACGATGATAAAGAGGATTAACTTTTTGTGGTGTCACGAATAGTTGGCGAAGGAAGTAGAGCGCTTGCGCATTTGAATAGGAAATGAGACGCGAAGTCATAACAAAAAAGATTGAGAAGTAGAGGCCGCGATCCTGTAACAGGAAGTTCAGAGTTGCGAACACAGATCACTTGAAGCTACTGAATAAATTTCAAAAATACAAAAACGAATTGCAGAAATGGATGCCACGTTATCATATGTGTTCTCGCGTAATATCTCGGAGTGATTTTTTGATAGAGAGCAACGCACTAATCATCCTTGTGAGCTATGCACGATTGATCTCGCAAGGGTTAAACTTCTAAAGACCAATCAACCACGACGTGGCTTGTCATTCATTGAAATCAGTGTTTATTTAATGGCCAATAGTCATCTTCGACGCAGAGAGGTACTCTCTTAGATCATCGTTCTATTGTTCGGCTGAAGAGAAGGCAATAAGGATTGTAAACGGCTTAAAAATATCTGAAAAATTTTTCTAAAGGGATTAATTTGCCAGACTTGAGTACACTTCAATGTAAGTGCCCTACGTTATAAGTTAACTCAGTGCCGTTGGTCTGCACTTGAAATGCTGGGTTCAAGACTGCTCGATTGCGGTGAATATGTAAAGAAGCTATTAAGTTTCCTTTGTGGTTTCTAAGCTTCGTGGTTTTTTTGTTGAGATCATGGAGGTGCTTGGTCTACTAGATTGAAGTCAACTAGATCTTTCCAGACTTTGGAGAAGAAGAAATGCTCCGAAACGTGACTATTTTCATATAAATAATGAAATAACAACCTTGTTTTTGTTTATCAGTAAAACAGTGAGTTGTTGACACTGCTGAGATCAGTAGAAAATACGACCTGAGAATTTCAACTAGAGAAACTAAGTATTGCATACATATTATAATTTATAAAGTCTACCGCATAAAAACGGCGGTGATCATTTGCACAATTTCACCACGATTTGCTTATCATTTTTTAACTGCTTCTTTTAATGAAGGCAAACGATTTTCATGGCACCTGTGTCAGCCTGCTATGTTAAGCGAAATCTTTGGTGAAAACAACGATAGTAAAGTAAACCATAAAATAATCAATCAGAAAAAATTTTATTTGGCCGCCGCTTGCGGTGGTATGATCTTATAACGTACCCAATAATGTATTGGGTGCTGTGCAAAAAACATTTGCATCAGCCGGAATTCGAACCCAGATCTCACTCTTTCGGAGAGCGTGTGCTGAGCCGTTTCACTACCGACGCTCGTTTTGCACGTCGATCTTTCTACAGTACAACGCGTTATTTGTTAACAGCCAACCGCCGACGGTCTGGCGGCAACCACTATAGGTTGAACCCACTTATGCTGACAGATAATGGGTATCAATTATCATTCGGGATTCATTTTATTTGATCTCCTCTTGCGCTGGTATAATCTTATAATATACCCAATACTGTAGAGTGCTGTGCAAAACCATAAAGAACCATACGAAACCATAAAATACATCTAATTACAGGTGTTTTACCGGAATGTCAAATCCAAGCATTTAAATTCTACGGAGTAGTCTCATTTCAAACACTGTTTCGTTGGAATTCAAAGAATCAGAGTCAACAGAGAAACAAAGGGAATCTTGCACACAATTTTTTCCTTTATATAAATAATGCTTTCTGATTATTCAATGTTAGGAAGCTACTCGCAAATTCTGAGCGAAAACTTCTTTGGTTCATTTACTGCGAAGATCACAAACATTCAATTGTAATAGATCATTACTAGTACCTTAGTTGTCCGAAATCTTGACTCTTACCCCCGAAAATTCAGATTTCTTTAACTCTGCGAGAACTTCTACCAATTCACTCGCTGTTGATTTACGAATATCCTGGATATTTATTGGAAAAAAGGAACTATACAATCATAGAAAGTAGGCGTTGATGAAGATCCAAGTGTATGGTAGCCGTGTTTTTCTGCGTCCTCGTCGCTACAGAAACCCCAGAATCATTGAGGCACCGTAGAACCGAAATAATTGAAGACTTTAGAAATTGATGAGCTCATAAGAAGTGATTTGTCGCATCAATGTGTCTCATCAAATATGTGCATGTATTCCTCATGAAACCCTACTATGTTAAATTTCTCCCAATTCCGAAAATGTTGATAATGCTATAATACGGAATGCACCAGGTATCTTTATAGAGAAGAACTGCATATTTCAGCCGCTTTTACCCTAAGTAAAAAATTTGGAAGTGAGCTATGATATACTGGCCCGAAGATTAAGCAACTAGATCCTACTTGGTTATGCATGTATTGAGACCACTGCGTAAAGTTATAAAGAGGTTATAATCTCAAAAACAAATTTTGTTTAATCAGGTTATGAATGTTGCTTATTTATATCAGAGATTCTTCACAATTTCAAAGTCTGCCAAGACTTTTCGTCAGAAAATATTTGAGTAAAATGACGGTTCTCGTGTGTTTTAAAGAGGTTCCTCGCATAGTTGCACAACACTGAAAGTGTGGAAATTGTCCGCATACGTGAAATAGAAAAATACTAACATCATAACTAATATTCTCTGCCTACGCAACTTTTTTTAATTGTTCAAGCCACCCTGTTTAGAATCACTCGAATTTTGCAAGACAATCTATGTCAGATAGTACATATCATGATGTCCTTGTGAAATTCTCTTATGATGAAGCACCGCAAAAATTTTGAGTTCTAGCTAACATTGAACGTATGTGATAGAGTAGACTTCTCTGGTGTTAATATGGCACCTGATACGATCCCTACTGGGTATCACCTTTCCATCTCGCCCCACTGCGTCAATCTGAACTGCCGCTCTTGAACTCACGGAGTGTAAGATCAGAAATTTTCCTCTGACGTCACAAATAAAATTAAGTCCAATGAATTTCTGTCATTTCCACTGTTTTCGAGTTAAGAATGTGGCAAAGAAGTCTGTCAAAGCTTTGATAAACGTGGAAACGATGACAGCGTCGGTAGTGCAATGGTTCAGCACGCGGTCCCGGATAGATTGAAATCTGGGTTCGAATTCCATCTGACGTAAGTCCTTTTGCACACCACTCTACAATAATCATACCAATGCAATAGGCGGTCAAATAAAATGAATTCTGGTTGCTTAAAAACGATGACAACTTGTTCTCATAGACATGCGACAATAACTTAGTGAGGACGCTGCCGTAGAGGGCCTAATGCGTTACAATCGTCGGTTAGTCAGCGACGTCGAAGGTTGAGCTTCTTAGTCCAGCTAGTGTTCTCGCGGCGAAGATGAAAAACGGCAGTTTGAAGGTCTACGTGTTATTCTTGATGTCCTGTTCAAAGTTTGCAACGAGCAATGGGACAGTTTTTATTTTTCGGTTGTTAATTGCGCTTTATAGCAGACCGCCTTTGACCAATCGTCAACCAGATCGATTTCCTATTAGGTAGAAACGTAATGAACAACTTACATTGAATAGTCTCAGTGCGACTTAACCATAGTTTGCCCAAAAGTCCTCTCAAAAATTTTTCTAATAGGACTTTATTGTTCACAATTTTACATTACTTTCCCGTGTGATTAAATTTTTTACTCGTCAAAAGGTCAAGGTCATCGATGAAAAGAAGAAGCTAATACAACAAATACAAGTATGAACAAATATATCCAATAACATAATAGTACGTTCAGCAACTGGATCACATCTGTGAGCCATATATGGCTCATACTCCTGTTACTTTTCTCCACAGTAGTCCACTATCAACTCCTACTCATAGCCGAGCTACCGGATGGAAATTTTGAGAGCTCTTTCGTTGCATGGATTACGCAACTGAGAAGGGCTGACTTCTTGCTATGTAACATTCATTGACATCCTGGAACAAGCAATGTGCTGAAGATTATAGACGATATACAAATGGTAAAAACGACACACGGATCAACTATAGCATATTGCCCAATCAAAGCGTTTGATCGAAATCAGTATCGCTTGAATGATCAGCTTCAAGGCGACTAAATTTTCTTGACGTTTTCACTCTGTTGTTCGACTTAAAGCGTGGGATAAGGGCTCGAATATACGCTGAGGAGCTTAAAAAACTGTCTGAAACAGCCACAATTACCGTATCGACTTACACTATTGCGTATGTGCGGCACCTTGGGGGATATAACACGTTTGGCGCTGATCAATCGTTGAGGGATGCGATTTGCATGCAACTCTATGAAGCATCGTAAAGATGATTTAATGCATTTCCGACTCGTACAATGACTTGCGGTTGTCTAATAATATGTCAAATCAGTGTTCTTAACACGCTGGACAAGTCTGATGCCAATTTGTCAACTCTATAAGGAAAAGCGAAAGGCTCGCTAAGGTGCGGGAAAGGCACACTTTAGACTCAATTATTGACTACGGCGCATTACAAAGTATCTCTAACCACTGCGCTAAGCGAATACATAATGTGATGACATAGTCGTTATGCGTTCAACATTTAGCTCATAAATTCGGCTGAACATCCGAGCAATCAGTTGCTGGCGCACGTCTTCTAATACCATGAAGCTGAAGATGTCAAAATGGGTATTCGCTTAGCACCTCAAATGCCAAACATCCGAGCAAAAAGACTGAGCTTAATTGCATTAACACATAATTATTCATTTGTATAAGCCGTTGCATAGAGTGTAGATTACAAACTTTGGTTGATTCTGTCTGCTGTCTCTCATCCAACTACAACAAATGAGGCATAAAAACTCCCTTCATTGATCAAGGAAAATTTCGTTTTCTTGATAAATGGTGAAGTTGATTCGTTCTGGAGCACTAAGGAAGTTCTACTAATGATTTTCCGGGCTTCCACTGCAGATAGTCGCATTGTGAGAGGGAGCTTTCCCACGAATCCGGTACCGATTTGAGGAATAAGAAATGGGTGAAGGCTTGATTGGCACGAAATGGAATCGATTTGCTTGCGCGTGGAGGCGAATATGTGACAATATTATTTTCAGAGGGTAATTGAAGATGAACAATCATTTAAGACTAGGTTATAAATAAAAACATTCCAGCAATCTTTGAACATTGATTTCAAAAACAATCCAGTATTTGCGAGCTTTTTTAAAATTTTTAACAGTTGACGCTTAATAATGCTGGGTTGGCGCAAAAGCAGTTGAGGAAAGAACCGGGTCGGTTTGCAATTACTTTCATAATTTTCGCCGAATGGCGAGAGTGGTTGAAGGTCGACGTTGATCTTTTTGCAACATACTGTGGAGTCTTAGGGGGATCAGCTTCAATGATTGCTCTTCCCATGACTTCTGATTAGGTTGATGCATGCAAAAGTGATTGCGGTTTATGCAGTGTTGAAATGAGTCTTCTTTACGAAATTTCTCGTAAAACCACTGCACCTTAAGTTCGTTAGGAGTTCCTAAGCTAAATGCGTTGTTAATGTTGTGAGTTGTCTCTGCTCTCAGCGACCCATTTTGAACTGACGGTTTGAATTACCAAATACTTTAGCTCCAGCCAAAATCTTTTCCAAAGGTCTAACAGCTACAAATAAACAGCATGTAATTTTTCTAAAGCGAGAACTGCGCATCAAAATAATTTGTGATATATAAAATATATTTCGATACCAGACGGCTCATTTCAACAATGCACAAACCGAAATTACTTTTCCGCTAATCTTATGTACACTCTCAAATCATGGATAGGCAGCGCAATAAAAAACAGTTCTTAGTTAGTCAGTATGGCAGAAACCTGTTATGGAAAAGTGATGATTTTCAAAGCGAATTGCTAACAGGAAGTTTTTTTTACTTCGTCCTAAAACATTCCGTCCCATGATTTATTCAATGCTTCAATCACACAGCACTTGAAAAAATTGTTATAAATTCTTTTATCAAGCTTCTGAATGAATCGCTTGTGATCACTGTGCACGAACAGGGTGTCGAAGTTCAGATTCAAGATTGAAGATTCCATTACTAATGAAAATCAGCGTGATGGCATTGTACGTCTCCACCCTTAATCCTAATTCCCACGATATTAGAATGTTTATACTGAGCGGAATAATAATGAATACAAGGACAAAATTTTGAACTGATGATGTGGTCAGGTAGAATTTCCGAAGTATGAGGTGTTTTGAGCGAAAATCAAAAGAGATCGAGACAAAACACAGTGCGTTAGAAAGATAGAAAGATAGAAAGTGGAAAAGAAAGAGGAAGAGAGCTATAAATATCAAAATAATAACTGAGAAGTACTCCAAAGCTATGGACAACTCTAACAGGACCAAAATAGGATTCAGATCGCTGAAAAACTGAACGATAACCAACAGTGAACATCTCAAACCGGTTATGGAGGAGATTCTTGCTCGACTAAAAGTGGATTGTTCGGGAATTTTTGCAACACATGCCGATTCCATTAATATTCAAATCACCTCATTAAAAAGCATCGACAATGTAGATGAAAAAGGCATTGATGAATGTGAAAGTATTCTAAAACGGACAAGTACAACCAACATATATCGGCGCCTGAACAGCTCACATGTTGATAATCATTTTCTTTTTTAACACTTAATCACTTAATCCTATACTTAGTGACTTTTCATCTAGCACTAGTGCAAGAGATGCAAATCGATTACTGGGCATAATGCGACCATAGGAGCAGTAAAAAAACTATTTTTAAAATCAAACAATGTAGTTTGATCCTTCAATAAGGTCTATTAAGGGCACTTATACAGTGCAAGTCATGCGTTTCGATCTTATTTCTAGAATAAGGTGTAATTTTATACTGATATCCAAATCAATATTAAATTATGTAATCTACATATGCTTACAGTGTAATTAAGCTGGGGCACACATCTGTTAACACGACCTTGAGAAAAAAGAAATGGCTAAAACGGGTACCATCAATTTTGAGAGAGACCTACCGACCTTACACAAGCTTTGAATAAGAATCAGTCCACAAGATATTTTCATTTTCACTTTCATTATGGCTAGTGCGAGCTCGATATCGACTGCTCATCACCTGTATCACCTGAAGTCCCGTTGATCGTCGAGTGACTCGAGCGGGTACCAGCAACACTTCCATTTTTCCCTATCGCGTGCAAGAGTAGCCCAGTGGGTCTTCTTCGCTCAAGGGATTCGATGAGCATCATATCTCTTTGCTTCTATCTATAGCTCATAAGAAAATTAATGTAGATCAAGAAGATATCCCATCATTGGCCCAAACGGCTTCGTACAATATATAGATAAGTAAATAATTGAATAAATCAATATATATATATTATATATATGTACGGATAATATGAGCAGTCGATATCGAGATCGTACTGGTCATAGTAAAAGTGAAAATAAAAAATATTCTCTGGGGTAATTTTTATCCAAAACTTGAGTGAGGTCAGTAGGTCTCTCTCAAATATATATATATATATTTGTTTGTTTATTTATTTATTTGTCTGACCAGTAACTCATATTTTAATTCTCTCCCCATCTTCAACTACTGTTCCGACGCGAACTGTAGCAAAATCTCGCACTCCAAATCTCTTCGCACAATTTTTACAACAAAAAATCTCACCAAAGATGATAAGTGGTGTGAGGTCAGTTGGAAAGTCAAGGTAGCGACCTCGTATATGGTTTAAGCTTTGAGCTTGGAGATCCGAATTTGGTCAACTTTTAATCACAGCGTTTGTAGACGAAACCATACCATTAGTTGCCTTTTTGCTTATCTGTGAAAGTTGAAATCAACACAGCACGAAATTAACGGTTCATTCTAGACACTGCTGTAAGCTGAACGATTGAAAACGCTTGGTAGAGGTGTACCAAGTAAAGAACGTAAAGTCTCATACATACTATGGTGCCTTTTCTTTCAAAGTTTTTAATAGACATCTACCGTCTCACTAAGTTCTCCATTGGCTTCCGCTTTCAATGAAGCTGAAGACCCACTTTTACAAGGGAGTTCACTTCTTCAAGTAAATCAGCCGGAAGGCTTGAGCTTTCTGCTGAATTCTTGGCATATCATGTATAGCTTGTTGGGTTCTTCAAGAGTAAGTAACAAAGCCCATTCGTTGAAAGTCAGGCCAAGTAGCTTGGTTTTTTCCTGTCAGCTATT